TTATTATTGAAGTGAATTTAGTACTCAAAATTTTTGGAAAAGTTTGGATAAATTTTTTGAATTTTTTTTCTCGTTGACTCATGTAAAAGTGAGCGATATGAGTTCTTGGACTCCCAGATGATGAACGCTTTGCACTCAAGAAGTGCATATGAGGACTTTAACTTTCAGTTTCAAAACTAAATTAAAATTTATATTTCAGTTGTAACACTGAGTGACTTGCCCGTTGTTCTTGAACTTCTTGTAAGCTGCTTGTTTGTGTCTTTGTGTGTGTGTGTGTGTGTGTGTTAGTGCGCATGTAATAGGAGTAGGTAGGCTTTCCTATCCCCTAGTCAACACTCCTCCCTTCTCTTGAACAAGCGCAGAGGTTCACCCCTTGTTTCTTGTTTAGGAAGTGGTTCCCGGTATTTTCCTATACTTTTCTCTGGCCTCCATAGTAATACTGTTGTGATTCTCTTGTGGTGTGTTCAGTCTGTGGTAACGTCTCTTCCTTCTGAGGTTACTGGGTTGACAGTTTTCTTGTCGCTGTTTCCAACTGGTAGTTAGGAGCCCTAACTCTTGCGTAGCGTCTTGAGCGGCCGCTCAGATCAACAGTTGTATAATATCGGGGTACCTGTAGTGCCGTGTCGCGCATGGAAGGGTGTCCCTGAACGCACCTTCGGTGGGCAACTCTGAAGCCACATTATGTTGCAGGCTGCGTCAGCTCCTTTCTGCCCTTGTCTCGTAACATGACCGTCTGCTACTTCTAATTCAGACCTTCCCATTTTCACTACCAACATTACACAACATAACAACAAACGATCAAAAAAGTAAACCTTATCCAGCTCTAAAAACATCACCTAAACCCTTTAGCATTTCCTTTTCTAATATCCGTGGCATTCGAACCAACTTCTGCAGTGTGGAATCGTTCCTCATTGAGAAGTCTCCTGATATACTGGCTCTCTGCGAGACCAACCTCGTCTCGTTTATTCCTTCCTGTGACCTCTTAATCCCCGGTTACCTTCCTCTCCATAGCAAAGACTCTCAAATCCACATGCACGGCCTAGGAGTTTACGTCAAGGACCATCTCCCACTAGATAAGGAGCTCTCTTTCGAATCTCCGGACCATTCTTTTTGCGTACCCGTCTATCCCTCCTCAATGTTTTAAGCTACCTCTTTTCCTCTATCGATCTCCACCCTCCCAAGACTGTGGTTTACTCGATAGCATTTCCTACAATATAGACAAAGCTATCTCTCTTCATCCGTTTGCTCATATATTCGTGTTCATTTACTTTACCGCCCACGGCAAGTGGCTTAAAAACTCCATAACTGAACTTGTTGACAGGGTTAGGGTTAGCCCTTAACTTCTCAATTACTCAGTTCCTCACACAAGTGTTTGAATTTCCCACCCGTTTCCCAAACAACCATGACGGTAAAGCTTCCCTTCACGAACTCTGTTTCACCTCCATTCCAGAGTCTTGTTGAAACACGCTGCTCTGCCCTTTTGGCAACACTGATCATGCTGTAGTGTCCGTCAA